TTTTTTTTTTGTTTATTAATAATATCCTTCCAATTCATAGATATTTTTCCTTGTTCCCTCTCTTGTCCTGTCCAATCACGTTTCCTTTATAATAATAATAATATGTATTTCTCGGTCCGACCGCGTACATGATTACAACGCTCAACTAGACTGGAAATTGGACAGATACTACACTCTGATTTTAGTACTATTGTTTTTCCCAACTGGACTCGTCTAGGAAATCTAATTTGAAATCCTATTATTTACAATTATTTCCATTAGCCGGACTGTTGTCCGCCGTCTTTTATATCACATTCACGACGTTTTGCCGGTTCTACGTTCCGACTCTCCATGTGATTATTGGAATTTTCGCACCGAACCATTTATTTTAGAAGTAAGCTGGAGCGTACAACGGCCGAATCATACGTAAATATGACAATAAAGATGGGACAACCGTCCAAATAATATGAATAGTGTAAAATTTTCAATACCTCATCTCAGAAAATATGATGAAATTTCATTGTTACGTTTTTTTTGCAGCAGTGTCATGGATCGAAGATTCCAGCTTTTCTTACAGACGTAACATCATAAGGCTATCGCTACCCCATCGTTTTTACATGGCAAATGTTCAGGGGATGAACTACATTCTTTAGACCTTTCTAGTTCAGACTTTATAGCAAAGAGAAAGTTCCACTTATACAGCTTTTTCCAGAAACTGAGGTTTTCGCTGAACAGAAACCCTAGAGGATACTCTTGAACGCTACAATATTAATTTTGTAAAGTATCAACCTCTGCTAGTTATAATCTTCAGTCGTCATGACTATGACGGCAAACTACATCCACGAGTAAGGGCTCTAATCGTGAGGTTTTAAAAAGCGTGGAACCACCACTTAATTGCTGTTGTCTCCAGGTTCATTTGAATCCCGGTGTGGTAACACCTGTTAGGGTCTACAAAGCAGGACAAAATAAATAACTTGATCAAAAATACTATGAAATTATAAAAGAGTTTTTTTTCGTAAAATGCCAGCAATACATTTTAAAAAAAAATATTACTAGCAGTACATATTTGAAAGAAAAAATAAATACTATCAGCAATAAATTTAAAATATATATTACCAGCAATACATTAATAAATATTAACAGTAATATATTCAAAATACATATTACCAGCAATGTATTAATAAATATTAGTATACATTTAAAAATGGATATTACCAGCAATAATATACATATAATATATATATATATATATATATATATATATATATATATATATATATATATATATATATATACCAGTAATACATTAATACAAATTACCAGGAATAATTTAATATATTACCAGCAATATATTAATAAATATTAGCAGAAAATACATTAATATAAATTACCAGAATACATTAAACATTACCAGTTAATATATTTGTAAAAAATATTACCAGGCATACATTTAAACATATATTTACCAGCAATATTTAAAAAATATTACCAGTAATACATTTAATATATATATATATATATATATATATATATATATATATATGTGTGTGTGTGTTAAATGTTATCATCAATACATTTGACCATCGACAAAAGAAACCCCTTTTCAAAAAATATGTCGATGAAACATGATCTAAAAACTATTTCTTACAAAAGAATACATTATATTCATACAAACCCATATCTTAAAATTCTGTCGGCATTAAATAAACGAACACTATGGTTGATATGCTGTGAAACAAAAATAAACCAAATCACTGCATTCTACCTCCGTTTACATTCATATCACAAACGTCACCAGTAATTTCACTACTGACTTGTTCTGAACCCTTATATGTTCTTGAAGTTTAGTAAAATAGAAATAAGATTAAACCCAATATTTCTAATACCGATTTTAAAATGCTGGCATTCATTATTCGTTTGGAGGAGACGCAGTAGCACAATCGTTTCATCATTTGATTTCTTTCTGCGATGCTGCTTATGCAGGTAAAACTCCTGAAACTAGAACATTTATGAATAATAAAGATATTTACATTAAAATGCTAATTGCAAATTAACGATAATGAAGAGGGTATTGACAAAAGTTATCCTGAAAAGGTATCAAGAGGATGAAAGAGGAAAGTCGATGATAAGAATCGGGGTAAATTGAAAAGTATAGGCAATCAAGAGTCATATTTTCTCTCTACAATTGTCGCCTTTCGGAGGCGAAAGTAGACGTTGTATACTTATAAAGTTCACAATAACATCAGCCATAATTCTTCTTACTGTCTGAATGCTAATGTTTGAAGGACAGACGTCTGGGAATATTAAGTAAGGAAAATTCGAAACTGCGAAGTAAAATGTCGGTAAAGACAAAGAATTGGCCGGGATTGCTTAACTGGAATGTGAGATAGCGAATGCTCAAGAGAGAAGAATTAGATGAATACTACAAAAGTAAGAAGAAGTTTAGCAGATGAAAGGAAGGGAAATACAATAAAACGGCAAATAGTTGAAAGAAATTGCATCTAGAAAGAAATGAAAATTGATTGGAATAGAGATTGATTTAGCATTGCGCTTGTAGAGAGGACAGGTATAGATGGCGTAAACAAAGTCAAATATAAAAGAATAAAGAAATTACAGAATGAAAAAAGGGTAAAATAGAACGGCGAAAAATAAGGTAATAGTATTTTCTGCAAAAAGAACAGATAAATAATGATAACTGATTATCTTTACCGTGGAAAACTATAGTGAGAAATCTACTATTGTAGAATATATATAGATACTTCGAGTTTACATCATAATGTCTTAGACCCAGCGCAGCATTACCTTCTCAGGTGACTTGATATAGGCCTCTGTGTTGAGTCTGAGGTACTGTGGGAAGATGAATTAAGGCATAACTTCGCCACCACTTGTGATCACACCTAATACAATGATGTTTACGGGATATAATATCCAACTCTATCTGAATCCTCTGCAACGTCCTCAAAAGTGATACCCAGATACCTGACATGGAAGCAAATATGGATATAGATCCGACAGTATGAAGAAAAATATGGAAAACAAAACTGAATATGTAGTATGCTGTTTTAATATTGTTTCAATGTTGACGTCAGACGTTTCGGTCTAGAAGATGACCTCTTCAGTACATGTTATTAAAACAATTAAATTAGACAATATTCAAGTCAACATGAAAAGACGATAGACATAAGACTGGTATTTATTCATACAAAGTAATAAATTGTGGCACGAGGCCAATAAAGGGAGTGGCTAGGAGGCTGGTCAACACTAACTATCTTATACCTAGCTAATCAGATTTATGAATCCATCTGTACATTACATTTACCCATTCACCAAAAAGAACTCGTCCATCACCAAACAATCTCAACCAATTATAATACCACGTACCTTCAAAATCGCACCCCATGCCATAAAATTTTAATGAGATATATATATATATAATTCTAATGATAAAATGAGAGGGAGAATGAACCCAATAATAAACTTAAAATAAAACACAAATACAAACTAAACATAATTGATGCTAGGCACGTCCGAACATAAGACTAATAAAAACAGAATAACTGGAAATTTTAAGATCATGTTCCGTTTCAAGTAATATGATCACGTGGGCGCCACGTGGGCGATGTTGTGAAAGCGAAATTAACGCGTTTTATAAGCTTGGTCTATTATTGAAACAAAAATTACTATGGTAACGGTTAGAGCAATTGCTTAAAAGAAAAAGCGTGGTTAATAATTTGTATCAATACCCTCAGTTACATAAAAAGACGTCATCAAGTCAGAGTAAGGTTAGTAAGTCTGAAATGTCTAAAGTGTTTTGAAACTTGGAGAACTCTTATGTAAAGTTGAACTATTTTTAAATAAATAATTATATATATATATATATATATATATATATATATATATATAGAAAGAAGAGAGAGAGAGCTAGAGAAAGAAGAAAGTTGAAGAAGACGAAGCAGCGGCATATTAATATAGACGTAGAAGTCTGAATATATATGGATAAGAAAATAAGGAAATTATTGAATTCCGAAGAAGGTTGAATGAATGAGATTTGCTTTTGTTTAGCAGCATATCGACGCCTATGGATTATTTAATGCAGAAATCTAAATATTTTGTCCGAAACATTATGGCTTCCGCTACAGTCATTAGGTACATAAAATAATAATTACAGGGTAAATGTATGTTTTTATATGTTTTGGCATAAACCTATTTCTTTACGGTAGGACTTTATATTGACTGGATCATCATTTTCAAATAGATTTCTCATTTAGGTTTTTGTTGTATTATGTCTTACGGAGGCCAAGTGAGTACATCTGGTTAAATGTGTTTCAACAGAATGCAGTTAGGGTCTTAGACATGTGGATCTTCTTCTTCAGTTATGTGCATATGAAATGAATGGAGAGGTATGGAATGCTGAAGACAGAGAAGAGAAAAAGAAACAGAGGTGAAAATAGTAGACAGAAGAAAAAGGAAGACGTAAGTTGAATATAAAAGAAGGAGACTGAATATAGTAGAATAACAAGAAGAAAAAAAAAGAAGAGAAAGAAGGTGGAATCAAGAAGACGAGGAAATGGAAAATAAAGAAAAAGGTACGAGGCATAAAAACAAGAAGATGAAGAATTTGAGAATGTATTATTATTATTATTATTATTATTGATTAATAGCAGTAGTAATAGTATTAGTAGTGTTATGAATATTATTAGAAGGAGCGAAAGCATTGACTTTCAGTAGTAAAAGTATTGTCAGTAGATTTGTAATTGATAAACAAACCAAAAGGTTTTTATTAATATTTACATATTTCAAAGTTTATTAAAACAAATGAAAGAAAATCTTGAATAGAAACATGATGCATGAACTTGTCCAGGAAATGTTTCCTTATGAGCGCCGCAGTTTATTTCGTATTTAAAACCGAAGACATTAAGAGAAAAAAGCCAACTGAACGCTTTAATATGACGAGAAATTCGAAGAAAGACAAGTGTTGTATGACCTTGTCAGCATCTAAATATGGAAGCTCTCTCTAGTGATCAGAGAAAGAAATCTGCAAAGTGCATGAAAGCTACGTGGAAAAAAAATGTGCGGTTTGAAGGAAAGAAGGAAAAATATAATGAAATTTGAACGAAAGAAATGTCTAAATGAGAAAAATGTAAAAAAAGAGGTTTTGATGAGGAAACGATAGAGTAGGTATAATTG